GTATCAACTCTTGGATACTAACAAATTTAATTCGTCGGAATTGTTCACTGTAAGCCTGGAATTTCATTACTATAGCTTTATGGTAAGTAGCTACTAAGAAAACGTTACTCTTTTTATGATAAGAGCAATTTATCTTTTTCCTAACTGACGAAAAAAAATGGCACTTTTGGAAATTTAAATTACGGCCGACTGTTTCACGAGCCAGCCTCCATCCATCAGTTGCTTTGTAACATGGTGTCGATCACTCTGCCCGAAAAAACCATTGTTATGGCATGGCAGCATTTTGGCTTGGAGGCAAAGATCTGCATTTTATGTTGCAAAATCGTTAGCTAGACCTACAAGAAAAAAAATAATGCCAACAATTTCACACTGTAAAATTTTAAATTATTGATTATTTCAGAATGACAGGTTAGAGGATTAAGAAATTAACAAAATAGACCTTCGGACATCATTAGATGCATCAGTTTCTTAATTACATCATATATTCTTGTCCATCATGTTTAAGTAAATTTGAAACTCGGCAATATTTAACAGTTTGAAAACTTTTAGCCGGTGAAAATTGAAATTCGTTCATGTCAAGTTTGGCCGGCCGAGATCCGGTCAAAAAAGAGACCACTTTAATTTTAATCTCTCAGATGAGCACACTAAATTTAGTAACTTATTTCGTGATTACTCTTCAAGCGGACTAAGTGGAGGTCTTGCAAAAACGATGCAAACTTTTGCAGCAGGGAACTTTCGTAAACAGATTACCTTATTGTCCCCGCAGGGTTTTGGTACAGAAGCCAAAACGCGAGGTAGCATTTATATAATTAGTCCCCACGTAAAAAGAAGTGATTAAATGTTGATAGTATCTACATGTATAGTATGCGAATCTATCCCGATTTGAAGAAACTATGTGCACACTGTTTACCCGGTCAATTTGTCAGTGAGCTGGCAGGAAGATCTCGAGCTAAGACACTTCTATATGGCCTACATGCGTACATGACGATTATTGCGCGATCAAGTACTTTCGCTTCGAAGTGGCGGAGATGCCAGAACGAATTTAAAACGATTTTAAAGATCATGAAGATGGTTTTGGGGAGGAAAACAAAACAGAAGGTATCGTAATCAATGAAGAAAGCAGTTTTCTTAATCTCCAGATTCGAAGAGAAAATTCTAGGTAAACGATCGTACGTGTCGCTTCGCACCTGTTCGCGATATTTACATATGTTCAAAAAGTGCGAATGAAAATACCCTTCGGATGGCCAGTTTTTAGTTCATACAGTAATGTTTAATTGTTTTCAATCAGCAAAAAAAATAAAACGGGGGCAGCTTTGGTGAGAACTATTATTAGTTATAGGAAATTAAAGCCTCATGAAATTGTAACGCGAATTTTAAAGATTCGCGTTAATTCTTGTTAACGTTAATTTCCGCGATCTTAATTTCCATTTTTTTTTCGCTCCAAATTCTCGATACCATATCATGCCAAGTTGATGAAGGAATTGTACAAATGGTTTGGAATAGAAGAAGAACAAGAAGAAAAAAAACTGTTACCAGGGTGAAGATCCGCTGAAATCAAGGACACTGTAAAGAAAGCTCGAAGTCGCCAGAGTACTTCGTTTAACCCCTGGGCGAAGCAACTTCTAATACTAAAATAAATTTGCTCCTCTTCTCTTAAAAATTTCTGGGTTTTTTAAGTGGTAAGTCGGTTAACTTCCCTCATTTTGAAATTCTAGCACCTCTCTCGCTAGAATTTCTTCTATTGGGAAGTAATTGTTTCCCTGAATCTCGTTAATTTAAGTCGCGTTATTTTCGAATACCTTAATCAATTTAACACTGAATGGTGATCGGCCAATTCAAATTTTAGAGGCATCTGCCGTGTGCGAGGGGCAAAACATAAAATAAAATGATTCTTATTCATATATTGCCCTCATTTCAGTCCCCGTGTGATCACAACCAATGTAGGANAAAAGGGTAACTGCTGGGAAAAAATCGGGGGGAAATTTAATTTATCGGCGGCTGAGGCGGAGGTCAAATTCTGCAACATAAGAACTGCGTATGGTCGTTATCTGAAGCGATTGAAAACGCCACCTTCCGGATCGGAGCGAAATGCAGTCCCAAGGAAATTCCAAAATAGGTTGACTAAAAGAAGAAATAAATTTGCTTGCAGCAAAATTTCCTCCTTGACGTCCGCCATATTGTTTGCTGCGATTTTCGCGCCAGCGCAACGCGTGTGTAATTTTGACACTTCCGCTGTCCGAAATGTATGCAACAGTCCGCTTTGCGATCGCTTGCGATCGTCTGCGATTATATGGAAACAACTCTCTTTGCGATCGTCTGCGAGCTGCGCTTTGCGATCCGCGATCGTCTGCGATCATCTGCGATCGTCTGCGATCATATGGAAACCAGCCTTAATTTAAGTCGCGTTATTTTCGAATACCTTAATCAATTTAACACTAAATGCCGATCGGCCAATTCAAATTTTAGAGGCATCTGCCGTGTGCGAGGAGCAAAACATAAAACGAAATGTGTCTTATTCATATATTGCTCTCGTTTCAGTCCCCCTGTGATCAGAACCAATGTAGGAATGGAGGGACCTGTGAACCAGTTCACCAGACGCACGAATACAAATGCACCTGCGTGCAAGGTATCATGGGAAAACACTGCGACGAATGTAAGCGAAGTTGTTCTTTTTTTCAGTTTTAGCAAAAATAGAATAGAGCAGTTAGAATTGA